CCCTTTTGCCTCGAAGCTTTCATCCTATATTTCTTTACGCTATTATTTTAAGTATATAGCGGGCAGTTCCAAAAGAACACTTACTTCCTTATTTATCCTATCCAGTAGTAGTGCTCAAAACACTTGAGAATGGTGAAAATTCAAGCTGTGCTTACTAAGTGGCTAAGCAAGCCAATACTCTGCTTTGGAGGCTTCTGACTCCATGAGGGTTCTCTTCTCAGAAAGCTTTGGCTCTCCATCTGTCTAACCCTGCAGTCTGGTTAACCCAGCTGCTGCTGAATAAGCGAGGGTTGGGGCTCAACATATGTAAAGCTGGTCCCATTTAAAACAGTTGTGGCCTCTCTGTAATAACTCTTCCCTGAAATAATATAGAAAAAGGCAGAATGTGTGGTACTGTGGCGAGAACATGACCAAGAGGACATGTTGTCTGGGAATTCCTTTGTAAGCAAATGTGATTCATGGAGTAGAAATATGAGGGCGGCACAGCCAAGGATTGAGTGGAAATGTGAGTCTCGGCCTCTGAAGGGTATTTGGTTTAATCCCTCTGGCCTGGTGTGTGTTACAAGTATCACATAAATAAAGCCCATTCCTCAGAAACAGCAAGAGATTGCTTAGCTGAGGTTTTCCCAGAATTCTATTTTTTTCAAGCTAACTTTGCCCTTTTTTTTTTAAAGAAAAATTTTCCTGCTTATAAAGCATATTGGCTTTGTTTAGTAAGCAAAAAAAAAAAAAAATCTTTTAGGCATTCTATTAGGCAATATTTTATATCATAAATTAAGTTTCTCAGGGAAAACTGTTTTTTTGCTCTTCTGTTATTAATCAACAAAAGTAGAATGCCATATGTAATCAAGATTTTTCCACATAACATGAGTAAGAGTTTTGGTTTTGCTTATTTGGAATTATAGTTGGCAAGGATTATCTCCAGAATGTGAGGTTCAGGGATTGACCTGCAGAGGGTGTAAAGATGCACACAAAACAAAACAAAACAAAACAAAACCTGAGTGTACCTGTAAGTCTAGTTTTCAGCAAGAAGACAAGAATTATGCTAAGAATGTAGTTTCTTCATGAAGAAAAGAAAATGAACTCTTTGTTTACCATGTGTGAATGTTTCCATATTGTTACGGTTTGACCTAGATGTCTCCCTAAGCCTCATGAAGTCACAGGTAGGGGTTTTCAGAGGTAGCTGGATCTAAAGTGAGTGATGTTGGGATTAAGGGTATGCAATTACTAAATCAGTCCACTGATTGGTTGGCACAACCCTAATTTCAGCAGTTTAGATACAGTATAAAAGAGGCAAAAAGATGTTGGTAAGGCTTTGCTGTCTTCTGCCCGCCATGAACCGTTCTTTTCTGCCATGAGCCAGCCTTGGAGCCAGCTGATTATGGACAGAAACAGCTACAGACTGTGAGCTAACAAGATCTTTTCTTCCTTAACTCTGGGTGTTAGTATTTTGTCTTAGCAATGAGAAAAGTAACTAAGACACATGTGGTCTGCTTTCTGTTCTCACCCCCTGGCACATCTAGGCTATAGCTATCTGCCTCATGCTGACTGGGTTGTATTTGTGGTAAGACATAGGACTCTGCTCCAGCAATGATAAGCCAAGGAACTATGTCAGTGCTGTTTATCACTGTACTGCACACCTCTGGAACACAGAAACCATTTAACAAGTAATTATTGAACAAATACAAAGGGACAAAAAGTAGAGATTATACGTTAGGGACAAAAAAGTAGAGGTATGCTTGTTCTTGGTAAGTGAGTTGACAACAAATTCCTGTGAGATGAAATTAACGTGTAAAATATATTTACACATTTATAATTTGGCTCCATTAATTTGAAAACATTTATAAATAATAAATATTTATTTATTGAGTGTCTAGTCTTGCCAGACATTGCTGTAAGTGCTTGGAATACAATATTCCACTGTACTACACTATATCAGACCAGTAAGTAATCATGAAACAGAGGAAGGAGAAGCAGATTAGGGAACACAAATAGTGTGTGTGAGCTTGTATGCATGTGCACTATTTTAAGTGACTATCAATGGAGGTAACATCTGAAGACAGACTTGAAAGAGATGTGAGAAAGACCCCTGCAGGCATTTGGAAGCATCTTCCTGGCAGAGGGGCAGGAGGAAGTTTGGCTTTGACATAGAAGATGTGTGCAGAGTTAGCAAGCAGGCAACGTGACTAAACCTGGTTAAGCAAAGAGAAAAAATAAATGAATTAGGAGAGATAGTCAAAGGCCAGACTGTGCATGGCTCTGCAGGCCATCATAAGGGTTTACAAGTCTTAGGAAGGTTTAGAGGGCTGAAGCAAGAGATGGCACGACTGGATCGACTGTGTAAGTGGTCATTCTAGCTGCTGCATGGAGAGAAGGGGGAGATAACTGAGTGTAGATGTAAGTGGGCCTATTTAGAGATCTCTACAGGGGCCCATACAAGGATCAAGGGAAGCCTGGCTGTGACTGTGAGAGAAAGATGCCCAAAAAGGCGAAGAAGGCTTTTGGCCCAACTTTCTGGTAGTGCTATTTCTACAGACTGAGAGGAGAACAGGTTTGGTCACACTTGGAGTGGGGAGAAGCCAAGGGCCAGTTTTTGGCATTAGGTTTGAGATGCCTTTTAGACACTCGTGGGGAGAGAGCAGGTCGACACATGGATACGAAAGTGTGGTAGTGAGAGTAGAAGTTGGGGCTGGGTGTATAAATTTGGAACAGAGGGCATAAACCCAGAAAAGAAGTGCCCCTGGTAACACTGCTTTTTTCTCCTCCTGCTCCACAGCTTGGGCCCTCTTGAGCAGAGGGACATCCTTAGGCTCAGAGTTACCTTGGAACTGGTACTTCACCAAGAGCCATGGCACAGCACCAAGATGCCAGGTGGGCTTCCTGCCTTAGTGGGCAGGGCAAGTCCCCCTGAACCTTTGGACTCAGGCTGTCCAGGTCCAAACTGACAATACTACCACCCACCACCTGGCACTTGAAGGGTAGGGGCAAGTCATCACATACAACAGTGAACAGAGTCACCAACACCTCCATGTTGGGGTCCAAGGCTAGGGAAAAGGCATCTGCACTGGAAGGACCGAGTCTTGAGGCTGGGTGTGCACCAACATGGTTCCATCGTTTCCTGCTGTAGATTTTCTATTCCTGGAGTTCTGATCCCTGAGTCACTATAAGGAAACTGCCACGGTATGCTAGATGATAGAATACCACTTGAAACAAGGCTTCTAGTTTCATTTCCTGTTAGCTCTCCACTGCCTTTAGAGAGCCCTTTCTAGATCATGTCACCCCCCCCCCCATTCTGGGGGAAGTAATCTGAACTCTTTAGCCCAGCTCATGGTTCTTTCCATGATCTAGCCTTTGCCTCTCAATCCTGCTTATCCACTTTTTTGTACGGGTACTCTTGTGTTCCAGGTGTTAACCATTTCCCTTTCAGGCTATCAGGGAAACGTTGTTTTGTGTTGTATCTCCTTAGAATGACTCTTGCTGTGTGTCCACATAGAGAACTTCTACATATTTCTTAAAGCTGCATTTCAAGATCTGTCTCTACTGTGAAGAAATCACAAATCCAGCCTAAGCACAGCTCTCATTCTGCATCTGCACTAGCACCATACTGGTTTATCCACTGCAGAGCTGTCATACTGCATGGTAGCCATTTCAGCAAATAGGGAAGTAGCTCCTTTGGGAGAGCAATTTAAGGGGTCATTACCTCTGTCCTGTGTATCTGGACCGGGGCTAAGTAAGAAGAGGAAACTTAATACATTTGCTAAATGCAGGGAATGAGTGGGTTAGAACCCAAATGGTCAGGACAATGTCGGTCTCTCTAAAATAAAGCCAACAGTTCATGAAACTTTACTGAGACATGCAGAAAATTATCTCCAGAAAATTATACTTATTAACGAAAGTTTATATCCTGTATAATTCCATCTATTTAACTTTTTTTTTTGGTACGGAGAATCAAACTCATAACATCGTGCTTGCCAGGCTGATGCTTATGTCACTGAGCTAAACCTCTGTCCCTATGTGACATTCTTGAAATTCAAAATCATAGACATAGAGAACAAAAGAGTGGTTGGCAAGGGTTAAGGAGGAGGTGGAGCAATGGGGAAGTGGGTGTGGCCAAAAGAAAGCCCCTCCCCTAAGGGTCTTTGTAGCAGTGGGAGTATTTTGTATTTTGACTGGGTCAGACTCAAGCTGTGGCTGTGGTAGTGTACAATGATTTTGCTTATACTAACACAAGGGAAGACAGATGGGTGCAAGAGATACCTCTGGATTATTTTAATTCATAATTATCTCAAAATAAAAAGTTAATTGATAAGAAAAAAGAAGAAAATTTCATGGTGACCTACTTCAAGTCAGTAAGATTATTGCTAGCAGTCTCAATGACATTGCACTGCTCAGAAAAGTATACATTAGTTTGAAGCACCATCAGGCTACTATGAACTCTTTTTTCCCAAATAATAAATAATTTGTGTATTTCTCTTATTTAAGGGACTTTCTGACTGCATACTTTAGTTTCCATGAGCTTTCCAAGTTACCTGGTCTTAGCCATGAAGACTAGGCTTAGCTTTAACCTATTGTGGTCTCCATCCACAGGATCTTTTCTTGTGAAGTTAGTACATCTGGATATACTGAACATGTCTAGAATCTACTGGACATATCTCTAGATCTATGTCTAACATGCTGAGTATGGGGCTGATGTAATTCTGCTGACCTTTAGTGATTTTAATCTTCAGTGATTTAGTGAGTTTAATCTTAAGTGATTTTAATCTTAGACTGTAGCATACAACAAAATGTGTTTTTCACACTCCAAATGGATGGCTAGCAATGCCGAAAGAATTCCTATAACCCTGAGACACATCATTCTTACCTGGGGAGAAGCTTTGAAACACTGGCCCTTCCATCTAGACTCCTTGAAAGGAGGGTTTGTTTGGTACAAGTGATAAGGTGCTCAATGGTTCCACCGGTGTGGGAACTTTTGATGGGATCTTGGAATGCCCATAACCCACCTGAATCAGAAGGGCTGCAATTTCTGGGTTGCCATTTCGCAGGTCATGTCCATTGATGGCCAATATGCGGTCATTCTCTTGCAACTGGCCATGTCGGTCTGCCACACCACCATTTAGCAAACTGAAGACGAATACACCAGGCTCATCCACCTTGCGTACCAGTTTTATTCCAAGTTGCTCCTCAGGACTACTTTTGTTGAGTATCACCTGGAAGCTGTCATTCCGTGGTCCACAAAAATATGAGTGGGCATGTCTCTTGCTTTGGAACTTCTTTTCACGTAGCACTGTGAGCCACAGCACCTGGCAGGGCTTTCTCAGGAGGTTCAGGGCATAGTTGTGAGGGACATTGCTGATGTCCATCCCGTTGACCTGGGGGAAGCAGAGTCACCATGCAGTCAGTTCCACCTGCTGTGACTCTTCCTCAAAGGCCCAGGCTAGCATTCACAAGGGCCTGGCTCTCATTCCCAGCACCACGAACTACAAACAGAAGTCTCAAGTCCACAGAGTAACTGTAACACTGTCCCTCTAAAGACTGCTCTGCTCTCTTCCGTTAGCCTGTGTCTAAATGCTCCCTATCCCAACAGCAGTTTTCAAACTTCTGCAAGGAGACACTTTGTCCTTAGACAGGTCCTGTTATGGCTTGTGTTTGGATATCTCCCCTCCACCAAGTCTCATGCAATTAGGAATGTGGCTGAATCTAGCATTTGTGATTGGTTTATTGTGTAGTAATGGGATTGGTGGTTTGAGTGCTGCACCCTGGCTGACATAAAATGCAAGGTGGGAAGGAGGCATGCTTTTCCTCTTTTGTCCTGTTTGCTCTTGCTGTTTGCAGCCACCATGAACCACTGCCCCTCAGCCACACCGACCTGCCTTGCAGTCAGATGATTATGGACTGAAACCTCAAAAAAACAAAAACAAAAACAAAAAAACCAACCCAACTATAAGCTAAATAAACCTCTCCTTCCCTAATTCTGGGCATCAGGTATTTTGTCTCAACACTGAGAGAAAAGTAAGACAGGTCCTCACAATTATAGAATTCTGACCTTCATTTTTATTGTTTGTAAAATTTATTTTTAACTGGTAGAAAGGCAAGGAAGGAAAAATTGTAGGAAAAAATCAGTAGAAAAGGAAGATTTCCATTTACTTCAATCAAATGATTACATGATTAAAAACTTTTTTCTTTTTGGTGCTGTTGGGAATGGAACCCAGGACCTCATGCTGTACTGCTAAGCTTTACTCTCACCCCAAATGATTACATTAAATGGCCATTTGCACCAAAGTGAGTTGATATTTTCTTTCCAAAAATACTGAACTGAATTTTACTCCCTCCAGTCACACACCGAAACTTCAAGTTCCAACCACTGTGTGTGCGTATCTGTGTGGGAGGGGGAAGATATACATGCTTGAATGCATGTATGCATAAGTGTGCTGCAAATATCTAGAGTACATGTGTGAAAGAATGTTCCTGTGTGTATGCACGAGTGTGTTTGGGAATGTTTGAGAATGTTTGTGATCGAGTAAGAAGTGTATGTATGTGAGAGAGAATATGTGCCTGTGTGTATACATGTGTTTTCAAGTGTGCATCACAGACTATGTGTGTGTGTGTGTGTGTGTGTGTGAGTGTGTGAATACACCAGATATCAAGGTGGTCTTTTGCAAGGTTTTTGCTTGTTTCTATTAAAAGGAATAAAAGATTCCTCCACAATTTCAAATATACCCATACAGAAGAAAATTTCTAATCTCTTTGATTAAAAGGCTGGATCACTTTTATAAGCTACTTAAATAGCTTTAAATTCAGCCCTCTCACTTGTGCCTCCCTAGTAACCTACAGGGCTGACACTACACTGGGTTCTCTGGCTTTAATTACTCTGGCTATACAGACCAAGCCTAGAAGTTGCAGCCCCCAGCATTAGCCACTGGTGTAGAAGAAAACAATTCAATGCAACTTTGTGCACTGTGCTTAAAAAGAGGGGCACCTCACAGAAGGGTAACAACTTTCTACAGTTTCTACAGCTTGGTAAGATTTCTTGTATTTGCAGCTCATTGTTAGAGGCACCTTGGGATGAGCTTTAAAAAGGCCTTCCTCCACCCACAGTCACCAATTCGCTGCTGTCCTGGTGGGTGGTAGGCCCTGCAAAGAGACCACTTTTGTCCAAGCACGGAGGAGCAATGTGTGGGAAGTGGCAGGGGCTGCTTCCTCCATCACTCCCAGGCTAAGGGAAGGTCATGATTCCCTGCTTCGGAGTGCTGGCAGACTTCTGCCTGCAAAAGCCAGCAGAACTCCACAGGAATCAAATTGCTTGAGTTTGCAACCCTTCCAGGCAGCATAGTTTTTACTAGAACACAGAGGAAGCCACGCAGAGTTGCTGACTGCGCTCCCAACGCCCTCTGAGGCTGAGGGGCCCTGCCTTGTACTCTAGCTCAGAGCCAGGGGGAGTTTCAGCATTTCTACAGAAACTGCTTTACATTATTTCTTCTCTTATTCCAGTTAGTCTGCCAAACAAACAGCTCATGATGTGACAGAAACTTGTTCCTTAGCAACGTAGAAGGATGGGATAAAACTATTATCTAAGTATCAGATAGGAAATACATGAGCAGAGAGGGAGTTCTTATCACTTTTGGCACAGGTTTGACTTCTGTCTGATAAACAACTCTTCCTTTATCCTTCTCCTCTTCTGAAAATTCCTTCTTAAAGTCTTTCCCCTCAACCAAATCCCAGACAGCAGCACACCCAAGACAATTTATTCCGCAGCTTGTCCCCTGTGCAGAGACTCTGGGCTGGTGAGGAGAGCTAAGGGATTGCTTGTGTTTTCATGGGAGACCATTAAAGGAAATTTACTTTCGATGGGTATCTGAATGTGATTAAACAAAATGTAGACTGCTCCATTCATCTGCTCTAACACAATCTAAGAAAATATATGCTCTACTTTTGTATTATTTTATACTAATGCTACTTAAAGAAAAGCAGCAACCAGAAGAGAAGCAGGAGGACAAAGAGGAGGTGAAGAAAAGGAAGGAGGAGGAGAACAAAGATGATGGAGAGGAGAAGAAAAATAGTTGAGAGAAGAAAGAGGGGAGAGCAGGAGACATACAAAATAATGCAGAGACAGAAAGAAATAGTTATATCCAGCAAGGTAGACACAGGAGAGCAGAAGACCTATCTTATTAAATGGTAAATCTCATGGCAAGTGTTAACAACATAATAACTATGGAAAGTCCCTGTCCCTATGTATTTTACTATCGTCCGTCCATCCAGCCAGCCAGCTATCAATCCATCCTCCCCAAAGGATTTTGTTTTAATACTAAGTGCCCGATCACAGCCCTGCAGCAGTCTCTACCTTGAGAATGATGTCTCCTGCCAGCAGCCGGCCGTCTCTGGCAATCACTCCATCACTATAAATGTGCTGGATAATGATATGGACAAGTGGGGTCTCACTGCCTCCCACGAGCCTGATGGAGAGGCTCTCGTTGGGATCCACTCGATTGATCTTGATGCTGGTAACTTCCCCACGTGGAATCAGGTGATAGAACTTTGGAAAGACTCAAAGGGACAAAGACATTTATTTAAGACACCCACCCAATGGGCATTTCCAGTCACTCTTGCCAAACTAAGCCCTTCATATTCCTTGTATGTTTCCTACTTTCCTGCCTCAGTGCCAGGGCACGTTTCTGTGCTGGAATGCTTTTTATCTTGGGCCTAAACCCAATTTTTCCTTCAAGGCCTGCATGAAATGATCTCTTCCAGTTAAACTCTACCTTGATCCCTGTTTCCCTTGCTCTCTCCAAAAACACCATTCCCTATAAGTGTCCTCTGTTTCTCAGAGCATTAGACCTTCTATTATTGTTACTCATGCCCCTTGCTTGCATCCCCATTGGACTCTCAAATCCTGGCGGGCCTTTTTCCTGGCTGCTCTATGGTTCTCTGCACAGCCCCCTGTACACAGAAGCCTTCAATGAAGCTTATTTAGTGAAAAGGCATGAGTGAATGTGTTTTTGGAATCAATCGCAACTTTATCACGTGCTTATTAAGGGACAAAACCAGAACAAATCTGCTCTTCTGCCCTCCTAGATCACTCTGGAGGTGTTTTTCTTGCAGGCCCTGTTTTTCAGGCTTGGAGGCCCTTAGTCCTCTCTAGGTACAAAAGGAAGTGAAATGACCTAACTCATATTCAAGAAGATGCCAAGGCCTTGGATATGGCTTCTGGAGATATGTCCCTCATCTGCCTGAGCCACTGCATTTATAGAGTTAAATGGAGATCAAAGAACATGCAGGCTGATGTTTTCAAACTTTATTGTTCTGACTAAAGAATTTCTTTTTCCACAAAAGCTTTCAGAGTTCCCCTTACTTCTCATCCATTGTGCCATGGTAGAGAGCAGCTGAGCTGCTTGCTGTGTACCTCAGTAGTGAGTCATCCTTTATACAGGGCTCCTTAGAGCTCCAGGGGGAGCAAACCAACTAGCTGGATGTGGCAAAGAGAGATGGCTTCTCAGCTAAGTCAGAAGCCAGGCTCCTGAAGACAGAGTGACTGGCTGCCTCTGTCAGGTCTTCTGGTGCCAGGCATTCACACCTGGGTAAGAGTCTTCAAAGGACTTCCCCAGGGATCTATAAGCCAGCAGCAGAGCTAGTGCTGTTTCTTCACTTCAGCTTGAATAGAAACATTCAGAGGGGTCCCTGAAAGGCCTGAGACCAAGCCGTGTCTAATTTGTTGGGTAAAGCAGCTCCTCTGAATAGCCTGGGGCTCAAGTGAGGCTTTGGAGGGCTGAGACGTTCCAGTCTCTAGTAGCTGCTGACAGCTGCCTTTGCCTGAAGAGCCTCCTTGAATGTTGTCATCTGGAAAGATGTAACACTGCAGGTTCTACATAATCCACTCTTTGTGACTACTTTAAAAACCTATGAGCTTAGCCCATTCTTCCCTAATGACCTCAGCTCTCCAGAAACAATATAGGATAAAACAAAAAACCTAAACTGCTTCTAAAACATTGAAGAGCACTATTTACAAGATAATTTAGTGGCCTGAGGAAGCTTGAAACATTGTAAATATACATTCTTAAACTTCATGCTGATTGAACTTCAATGACTGGCTGTGGGAAATACAGTACTGTGATAAGTTCAGAGTAGTTAAAGCATGCTCTGTGTGTGGGCGCATGTGTGTGCACGCGTGTATAGTACATGCACACAGGGCATGAGGTCATCATGAATAGTTGGAAGAAGCCTTCTGTGACCACTCATGAATTTTCTGAGGCATAACAAATACAATAATTGGAGTTCTACAGTTTGCTTTGCACAGATTCTAGAGTCAATTACCTGAATTCAAAATACAGCAAGGAGGCTTCAATTTCCTCATAGATAAGCAGGAATAATGATGGTAACTAATTCTTAGGATTATGATGAGGAGCAAAGGAGAAAATGCATGTAAATACCCAGGATCATTCCTCATACATAGTAGGAATAAGAGCAAGTACTGTAATATCACTTATTATGTGCAAATACTATTTTAAAAGCATTTCGTTCTATTATTATTTATATATATTAAGCCAGCCCCTTAAGGTAAGGGTTTTAACAATTTTTCTCTCATTTGTATAAACAGAGAACAAATGTTTCTTTCCTCATTTACCTACAAGAGAAGTAGGCTGACAAGATGAAAATATTTTATACCCTTGAGAAAAGAGAGGTCACAGAAGGTGGATGGCGGGCAGCCTGTCCTCAACCTCCCTCTGGGAGCCCAGCTCATGTCCAGTCCTATGGGGGAGTTCGTTTACCTTCAGGAACAGTGGTATTTTCATGATTTTCTCTGCTCTGGTCAGCACAGTTGGCAATTATACTCCCATTCTTTGTCCTTCGAAGGGAGCTGAAGGCTCTGTTAAGTTTTTTAAAAGATCTGATTCTGAAAGAAGATCGCTCAAAAGGCCACGCTGAGAAAAAGAGACAAAAGGAATAGTACTTACAAGTTAAGTCATCTTTTATGTACACACGGTATTTACAATAAAACATGAACAGTGATTATATCTAGATGAAAGGATTATAAAAGTTGCTTACCTGTATTTTCTAAGTTTTCTATAATGAAATATGTTCAGCTTGTTTAAAAATTTCCCATTTTTCCTCCTGGACTGAACTGGGTGTAACAATACTTTTCTTGAGCCGGCAAGAGCCATACATTACTTCAACCCCTTTCACCAAGTCAGATTACACCATTTTAATGACCTGAGGTACTCGTGGTTTCATTTCACTCTGGAGAATTGCATATTGAGTGGCTGCCAAAACTACCAGAACCATTTCCCTTTATAAAAACATTTCTAGAACTTTCCACAGTGAGTATTGCTCAGAGTGCAATCCCAAGGAAGGCCAGAGCCCATTCCCAGTCACCCACCCATCTGACTCACCTCTGGTTCGGTTGCTCCGGCCAGTGTCCGAGGAGCTGTTTTCTGGATGACAGTTCTCCACTGTGGACACGCAGGAAGGGTCGTCTAGGCCAGGCTCATGGGGAGCTTCTGAAACCTCTGGGGAGAGTGGAGTGGCCGTGAGACTTGCACAGCCATCAGAAGAGCCGTCTTGGGAGCGCCTCTTCCTGTCCTTGGTCAGGCCGTAGTGGGAGGCACCTTTACAGCTGGAACAAAAACCCAGGATGTTAGATAGGCTGGGCCTTGCTACAAGTGCTCAGTGGCTTGATGGAGCTTTTCACATACACATGACGGCCTCAAATCCCCCTTCCACTGCAAATGTAGGTACTCAGTAATGCTTGCCCAAAACAAATGACTTTATGCCTGAAGTACACAGTTTTTAAACATGCTTGTTGCTTCTCCTAATGTAATCTCTCTGGTGGCTGCTGGAACACAAATCTATGAAAGTTATGGTGCTGATGCAGCTAGTGCTAAAGGATGGCGATCCTTTAACAGTTTAGGCTCAGCAATTCCTTCTTGCTGATGTTTTTTGGACCATGAAAGCTCTTAAATCACACTCTCCTTTCTTTTGGGTTTTGCTCCCAGAGAATTGAACAGAAATACAAAACTCCTCCTAGATTCCATTTAATTGTCCTTGGAACAAAATCACTGTTCCCACAAAGCCACAGGAGTGGATCCTGTTCTCTAAGTGCAGGCTTGGGGCTTCAATCTCTGCCTCTGGACTGGTCTGAAAGAGAGTCCCTTGTCCCTCAGAGAGGCCAGCACCAGGGTTGCTGTGCACTGAAAAAAAAAAAAAAAAAAAAAAAAAAGTCATCTTCCAGCATCAGGAGAGTAAAAAGAGCTTTTACAGTTTTTTTAAACAATAACATAATTGTTATTGTTATTGCATTCATCATCCATTTTACCTAAAAGCAAACTATGTCATAAAGGCCAGTAACTTCTGTAATAGAAAAAGGCAGGGAAAGATCATTCCTAAGGCTCACAAGGTTAAGGTTTGAGCCGATCCAGGCCCACATTTTTCTGTCAATACAACTTCACTGCCACTAGGCAGGTCATTTTAGGTCACAGGCAAAGGTTTTGTCAGGAAATGACATGGGGAGTGTAACCAGTTCTCATAGTTGTAAAAACAGAAATCACCTCATGAGTTCCTTTAAGAAGATTTGTATTCCAGCAGCCACTGTAGAGATTACATTAGCAGAATAAAACCAGCATGTTTGAAAACTGTGTACTTAACTCATTTGTTTTGGGCAAGAATTATTGAGTACCTACATGTGCATATAGTAAATGTACTGATTGTATGTTATGTTACTCATCTATTCATTACACAAATTTTATGTAATTGAGCAATGTTAAACAAAATTTCCAGAATATATTTGGAATGATACTTCACATTGTTTTTTTATTGCTAAAAATAAATGACAGAATGAAGTAAAAAACAAATAGAAGATGATAAAGGTCAGAAAACAATCCCTTATCCAAATCTCAACATCATTTGATACTTTACATTCTTAAAAGGAGACAAAATCAAAGGAATTAAGATGTATTATGTACACGGACAACCCACTCTACACTAGGAATGTAAACCTTGTGTTACAAACACGTACTACTACTAAATAAATGTTAGCTCAATAAGTCCTCCAAAATGTCAGTGTATATTTGATATGCACATAGTTTATACTGCCTATGCAACCATAGAACGGTAGAATGGAAGGGCCTATTATCTAGATCAAAATCTTTCTCTAAAATTTACCTCTCTGGAGGAATCTGTAATTTTATTAATCTGGTTAAATTTTTTAATCTGCACATACTAATTTAAGTTTGGTTGACATTAACTGTTGTTAAGAGTTTAGGATCTTGTACAACTGCAAGTGTGTTTAGGGGTGTTAAATAGCTGACCATATTAATGTTTTTGGTTGGATCATTGAACACAACTGTTTGCAGTCTCTCTGTTTGAATGTCCATTTTGTATGCTTTGATACTGTGACTTGAGCAACTATCTCTAAGATGATAATGTGTATTCTATTAACTGGTGATTTATTACTGTTTTTTTTTTGTAGTTCTGTATTACTTGTACCCTTACATCGCTTTGTTTTGTTTTTTCTCTTTTTCCTTTTAAATAAAATTAAAAAAAAAAAGAAGAGTTTAGGTTCTTGGTACCCAGACAATAAGTTGTAGCTATTTCCACAATGCCTCAATTCTAAGAGGCTCATTTTTTCTTACATTCATATGACTGAGATCAGCAGACTGTGTGGCCAAGGAGGTTGAACAGCCTCTGTTGCCAGCAGCAACAGACATGATAATGTCTGGGCACACGATAATGATGCCACTGCCTGGGCATGGCCAACACAGTCACAATTATCAATGTGTCACTTCCACTGTGTTGAGTGTACTCCTGGTTCTAACTGCTGAGTACAGTTACCATTTAAATGTTTTTAAAAAGATCACATTATGATTCAGCAATGAAATGGAAAGCGACTGTAAGACAAAGTTTCAAAAAAGAAAGCAGAGGGGTATATATTTGATATGGATGAAACAAATATCCTCAGAAGGTCCATATATCTGTATTTTCTGGCAAAGAATAAGCAAACTCTTTATTTGTTTAAACACACTACTCAAGAGATAAAAATCAGTATTACATTTTTTTTGCTAAGATCACTAAAAAGGATGCTTATTTTACACCAAGCAATGCAACCCAGGGCAGAAGTTACTAGCGTTGCCTGAATGGATTTCAAAGCCACAAGAGCCTGCTTTTACCAATCCAGTCATATGGAGACATCTTTAAAAGTGCTTGGGATCATTTAATTGGTGAGACATCAGTTGCTTTTTTATTCCATTGGAACATACAACATGATGCTTCTTATATAATTAGCTGCATTTTAGATGTGATGAAATACAGTTTTAATATTAGTATAAAACTCCAGGATGGGGAGCTACCACATGTAAGCTGAAGCCTGCCACAGTGAACTCTACCTAGCTGTGAAGCCACAGGACTTTGCTCAGAATCTGGTAGGGCTCTGCCCAGCATGCCCAAACAGTGTGGGACCTTTGGGTCATCACTTGGGTCCTGGATGGGTCCCACCCATTGACCCCTCAGGTAAGTGGGAGCCACCATATGTTGAGTGTTGCTAGCTGAAGGCTTCCACAGCAACTTCACCTAGCCATATAGTCTTAGAATATTGCTTAGAATCTGTTAGGACCCTACTCAGAGACCTCAAGAAGTCAAAGATCTTTGGTGTGCAATGTGGCATGAGCTGAAGACCTGCCCAGTGTACTCAACATACCATTCAGCCTTAGTATGCCACTCAGAACCTGGTAGGGCCCTACTCAGTTGCCTCAAGCATCTGAGGAGCTTCAGTGAGCCACATGGGATGTGCTGAAGGTCAACCCAGTGCACTCTCCCATCTGGGGAGACTTTGAGTGCCACCGGGGACCTGGTAAAGACTGCCTAACATCCCCTACTCAACTGGGGAAACTCCTTGCAGTAAGGATAGATATTCTCAACCTAAGAAACAACTGAGACCTTTTCTTCAGCTTCCTTAAGGGAATATAGAAAAATGACAAAATGAAAGAACAAAATGCAATCTCTGATCTCCAGCCCATCCTAAGCAAGCCTTGGAGATATGGACATAGGAGAAAATGTAAGCCATATACCTGAAACTCCTGAAACGATAGTGACTGAAGTAAAGAAATCACTCCAGGAAGGTATAAAAGAACTCAGATCAGAAATAATCTCCCAGGTAAAACAAGAAATGACAAATGTAATGAAAGAAATGTTGAACACATCTAAATAAGACATAGTTAAAAAAATAGAGGAACCTGGCAAAATGATGGAAACCTTGAATGAACAATATAAGAAAGAACTAGAAAGCAAGAAACAGACTCAAAAAAGTATCCAAGAAGACAAAAATTCCATCAAAAGCTTGCAAAACTGCCTCAGTGAATGTGAAGACAGACTATCAGACCTTGAAGACAAGATTGCAGCTAGTGAACAGGAAAGATCTTAAAAAAAAACAAGGAATCAAGAAATAACAATTCAACAGTTGCAAGATGATGCAAAGAAAAACAATATAAGATTAATAGGTATAAATGAAAAAGAAGGTGACAACACAAATGATATAAAAAGACTATTTACAGAAATAATAGCTGGAAATTTTCCAAACATAGGGAAAAAAACTGACATACAGATAAGAGAAGCATATCGAATTCCAATCAGCCATATCAAAATAAATCTACATCCAGACATATAATAATCAACATCTCAGAAATTCAACATAAGAACAGAATATTAAAAGCTGGTACAGAGAAGATCCAGATTACCTATAAAGGAAAGCCTATCAGAATCACAGCAGACTTCTCAATACACCAAAAAGAGCATGAAGTGAAGTATTTCAGATCCTAAAGGAAAATGACTTCCAACCCAGACTGATGTACCCTGAAAAACTGTCCTTCTAAATGGATGGAGAAATAAGATACTTCCATAGCAAAGAATAGCTGAGGAACTTCATGACCACCAAATCAACCCTGCAAATAATACTAAAAGAGATTCTAGATAGCCATAGAAAAAAAGCACCAAGCAAGGCAAACAATTAAACAGAGGGAAAATGTAAAGAACCAACAGCAGAAAGAAAACAACAAAAATAAAACAATATATATCAGTCATAACCATTAATGTATATGGCCTCACTTCACCCATTAAAAAAAAAACAGATTGGCAGAGTAGATCAAGAAACAACATCCAATCCTATACTATATATAAGAAACCCATCTAACCCAAAAGGAAACTCCCAGACTGAAAGTCAAAGGATGGAAAGCAACACATCATGGAATAGGAACCCACCTCCCCCCAAAAAAGCAGGGGCAGCTATTCTGTTTGCAGACAATGTGAACTTAAAACCAAGAATGATCCAAAGAGATAAAGAAGGTCACTACATATTGGTTAGGGGAAAACTTCAAGAGAAAGAAACAACAATCTTAAATATATATGCACCAAATATGGATACCCAGCTATACAAAACAAATATTAACAGAAATGAAAAATCAAATCAGCAATAATATAAATATAACAGGAGACCTTAACACCCCAGTGACCCAAAAAGATAGATCAACTAGACAGAAAATCAACAAAGAAATAACAGAATTGAATCAAACTTGTGAAGAAATGGATAAATAGACGTGTACAGAGTGTTCCATTGAACAACAACAGAAT